CTAACCCCCCCGCCTTTATGCCTACCCCCATTCCCCCACTCCCTTCCCTTCTCCCCTCCCCCATCCCGATTATCTCCACACCTCTACCTTACACTCTTTCACACCCCTGCTCTCCCTCTGTGCCCATCCCCCTCCCCCCCATATAATTTCCCCTTTCCCACCTCCCCCATCCCCATGACCTACACACCCTTACCCTACCCTCCCTCACACCCCACCTTCCCTCTGTACCAATATCCTCCTCCACCTTCCCCTACCCCGCCCCCTGTACTCCGCCGACCCCCTCACAACCCCGCCCCCCTTCACCAGAGCTCCTACGTCCCCGGAAAGCACCGAGGCATGTTGGACACCCTGTTTGAGGCACAGAGAAAACCTGGCAACGAGTGGCTGGATGATGAAACAGTCACCGTCTACGCCACCATTCTCTTCTTTGGATGTAAGTGGTAACTTATGGGTGGATGGCGGGTGCTCTTGTGTGCCTAGCTCCTTCTTTCTTTCTTTTTTTTTTGCCTTCTCCTGCTAGATCAAGATCTTAGGAGTTGTCGAGGGCTTGTTTTTCAACTTGCAGTGCAACTGATTTTTTTTGTTTTTGACCGTTTTCCTTACTTCGTAGGTGCCCTTGCTTTCAGGCAGTCACATTCCGATTTCAAAGGTACTAGATATCTATATTTTAAAAAATATATACTTCTGTTTGGATAAGAGTACTTTCCGTTTTTGGTTGGAATTAAATTTGAATCTTTCTTTCTTGTCAAACGTCTCGTCCTTATCTCCCCTCCTCCTTTTCTTTGTACGTCACTCTCTAGTAACACCTCTAATCGTCGGCACTAACATAATTTGAGACGCAAGCACCGTAAATCTCTAACTGAAAGCTAATGATATAGTGCCGAGTTATGATATTACAATGTGTTATGATGGCGTCGGTAGTGTAGTGGTTCAGTATATCTCTCCATTCTTGTCTTTGAATATAATATTGCCAGCCATACAATTGAATGATAATATTATCCTAGACTGGGTACTGTTATGAACGCCGCTCCTTGTTATTTATTTAAAAGAAAGAAGAAAAAAACAAAAACAATCGGGGATAGGGTGTCTATGATTGTTGGGGTGGGGAAGGGGGTTCAGGGGGCATAGGGTGTACAATCAGGACAGCAGGTCTAATAACTCCCATAGAAAAAAACCCCTCCTTCCACCCCTTTCATATTTCTCTTGTCATGGTTTTGAACCTTGGACGCCCAGCCAGTAATCTTATCCCCAGTGTCTATTGTCACGATTGGTTCTGTTTGCTGGCCAGATTGAGGGCACAAAGCGGCTATCGTGGCACAAACCCATCGCCCGACTCGTCGCCTCAAAAACAGACGCGTTTCTTTTCAGGCGATGAGTCGGGCGATCTTTTGGCGATCGGATTGTGTTAGGGAACAGGTCCATCGATGCGCACTCCGTGTAAAATAACGAACTACTGACGATCTGATGGTATTAAAGAACCCACCTACCCCCATGCTGTTAACAACTGTAACTCGCCCCCAACCCCCCTC